ACATCTACCCCTGTTCTCAGTAAGTTGTCGATTTGCTTAAAACCAACCCCTTCTATTCAAATTCCAGACGACGCGACGTTGAATTCCGATACAAACTCTTGTACTGTCAGTGTAATTGTAAAATAACAATTAAAATAAATATGCAATTGGAAAAAGAAATGCTACTAACAGCGAATAGTTAAATTGAGATTTAATATAGCTGTTTAAATAAAATAAAGTAGTAAAACAAGTTAGCTGTCAAGAAAAATATTTAAATTAATTAGAGTTCCCAAAAAGTATTTATATAGTCTACAATTGCCTCTCCATACAATGACATCCTCAAGCAGATTTTACTAGTAACTATGTAGGTATATATATACGTACTAAATGGTCAGGGGGCTGACACGCAAAAGAAACATCATAACAACCTTCTGTCGCATGGTATATCAGCTTTTAAAAGAATTTAGAGCATTTTTTTCATACGATATATAGAAAAAGCTTGTTAAAGGTGTATTTTTGGAGCGCGGCGTTGTACGGGTACGAAACATGGACAGTGGGCGCGGTGGAAAAGAAAAGGTTAGAAATGAAGACGTATTAGAAAGAATAGGAGAACAGAGGACTCTATGGAAGTCAATAAAAAATAGGCGAGATAGGTTGGTAGGACACCTTCTCAGGCATGAAGGTCTAGTCAGAGACATATTAGAGGCAGAAACAGGAGTTAGGAGGGGTAGAGGTAGACCTAGATTAGATTACTGTTCGCAAATAGTTAAGGATGTGGGCTGTTCTAGTTTTAGGGAAATGCGAAGTTTAGCTCAGGATAGGAAAGAGTGGAGGTACGTGTCCAACCAGTCTCAGGACTGACGACCCTATGATGATGATGATAGAAAGAATGTGAGCCCATTTTGAGAAATCGAAAAACTGTTGGTTCAAACCGCTTCGTTTTGGAGAAATAGTAGCATAAATTTTGGTCGGGTCATATTGTATTTTGTTATATTCGATTAATGTTCACTTATTTTTGACGCACAGGAAAATGTGCCATGAATTTCTTTTTGCCACTATTTTTCCTATTTTAAGTGAATTATACCGTTAAGATGAAGCGGTTAGGGTGGCATTCTTTTCGCCTCCTATATCAAGGAAATGGGCCCAGATTCCGCCTATATTACTGTCACATAGTGTTCATAATTTCCAAAAATATAATAATGCAATAACTATATTTGGTTTACAACACAGTGCAAAAAACAAAAAGTACTTCCCATCTTCATGAAGATAAAATGTAATCACCAATCTAAAGAAGCTAAACAAGCAGTCTAGCAGGCGTACGTTTATTGGTTGGATATAGAAAAAAACAAATGGTTTTCAATTAGGAATAATCTTTCACTCCATCTGAAGTTAATCCACACAGAATTATTCCGTCATTATTCAAACTGGGAGTTTGATATCATTGATTATGACTAGAGAAGAAATTTCCTTTAACCAACCCAGAAATTGGAGAAACTTATTTCAAAAAAACTTCAAGAGGAGCAGAAATTTTGTCCCAACGGAGTAATTGATCAACGTGAGTTCAAATTTTATAAACGTGTAGAAAATTTAAGCAACATAAACTTTAACAAAGATGAACTTAACCTATTACAAAAAGGTTTAAAATATTGTCCAGATATTTCGAACAAAAAAGATGCAAATATATTAACAGTAAATAGCGCTAAATCAAATTGAAAACCCTGTTGATAGACTTAGAGAAAAACATATTTTAAGTCAAATGTTCATGATTTAAAAACCATCAAATCAATAAAACAAAAATTAAGTAAGCACGACCTAATCCTTAGCAAGGCAGATAAGGGGAATACAATAACTATTTTAGATAGACAGATTTACATTGAACTTATAAATAGCAGTAAATTTAAGGAAATTAAAAATGACCTTACAAATAAATTTCAGTCTGAAATAAAATCGCTAAATAAAGATTCAAACAGTATCTTGGTTGAATAAGAGTTATACTCTCTAGTCGTTATGAATCCGAACGTCCCTTTCTTGTACAGTTTACCAAAAAGTCATAAATTAAATTGTCCAATGTGGCCGGTTGTATCTTACACAAATGCACCAGCCTATAAATTATGTAAGAAAATGAACGAAATTTTTCCAAATTTAGTTAACTTTGAATCTAAATATTCAATCAAAAACTCCTTACGAATTGTTAAACAACTTAAACAGTTGAATCTACCAAGAAAGCAATTTTCGACGTAAAAAACTTATTTCCCTCTATCCCAACTTCAGAATTACTACAGGTATGTGAAGAATTAATCAATTCTAGTAACTTAGATTTGAAACAAAACGCAGAACTATTAAAACTCCTTAAAGTCTGTATAAAACAAAGTTACTTCAAATTTAATGGCCGTTTTTATTCACAATTTGACGGATTACCTATGGGTTCATCTTTGTCCCCTTTACTAAGTGAAATATTTATGGAAAATTTCGAATCAAAATTATTTAGCTCTAATAATCCCTTGATAAAAAATGTCTTTTATTGGACGAGATATGTCGATGATATTTTCTCTATTTGGACTGGAACTAGAAGACAGATTCTTTTTTAAATTATCTTAATTCATTTTATCCTAGTATTGATTTTACTCTAGAAATAGAAAACGACTCTTCTCTCAACTTTATAGAATTGACCTTATCTACCGAAAAAGAAAAAATCACTTTTGATATATTTAGAAAACCCACTTTTACAGATATATTACCTCACGCCAAATCTAGACAAAATAATAGTATTAAAATTAGTGTCTTCTATTCATTTATACATAGGTTAGTTAGTTTACCTTTAAACAAATCTCAATTTGAAAAAGAGATACGTTTAATTAAAACTTTAGCAAAGAACAATGGATATGAAACTTCTTTGACTGATAAATTAATAAATAAAAAACAAAAACAATTAACCCTTCACAATTTTTACTTTGCACTTCCAGATATACCACAATTAAGTAAAAAAGTTTGCAATCGTTTAAAAATGTAACCTTAATTCAATATGTGTGAATAAAAATAATTTAAAGTCCTTTTTAGTAAACAATAAAGAAAATTGTTGAATAAGTCAGGAGTTTATAAACTAAGCTGTAAAGATTGTAATTCGTTTTACTTTGGTCAGCTGGACGATCTTTAAAAACACGTTTAGAAGAACCTAAAAAATCAATTGAAAAAGGTAATAAATGTACGGGCATAGCCCAACACTGCCTAGATTTTAAGCATACTTTAGATATAGAAAATTTTTACATCAATGTAATAAAGGTAAACGTTTGAATATGTTGGAAATTTATGAAATAAACAAAGCAAAGTTATTGGGACTTCCCATTGTTAATGAACAACTACATTTCGATATATCACCCTTATTAAACGGAAACATTCAGGTAGTCAATGATAAGATACAATAGTATTTAAGGAACAAGTTTATACTATAATATTTAGTAAATTTTAAATATTGTATACTCTTTGAAAATGGTTTAAACACCGAAACGGTCGTCAGAGAAATAAATGGAACATTGTGAAACATGAAAAGTGTTTTAATTCCTTTACTTTAATTTGTTTCACCAAGTGCCAAGCGAATCTACAATTCAAAAATATAATTTCCTTTCCCGGAATTAAATGTGCGTAACTATCAAAACGTGGAATTATCGTACGCAACTGCATTTGTTATGGTTCCGTGACATATTGGATTAACTTTGCGAAACCGCTGCACAGAAGTGTGGTCAATGTGGGTCGATGCAAAACTCCAAAAGTTCCATATGGCGATCACGAAGGCAAACACTTTATGGGGTCCTATAAAGACCAAAAGTAAATGAGGAAAGAGGACTTCACTCTTTAGCGCGAGTGCCTACCCATCACATCAGAGGTGAGACATTTATTTTCGACGTTTTCTACCACAAATACTTCCGTCTTAGTTCTTCCACACCCAACATTTCCATTTCTTTCTCAGGATGTACAACCTTCTGGTTGATCTCCCCACTCGAGAAACGGTTTTAGTCGGTAAAAGTCCGACACTACCTCCCTTCTGGAGATATCTTTTGAAAATTGCCCTCCTCGAGAATAATTTAAACAAAAAACAAAGAGGAAAGAGGAGATGAAGTGAGGTCCGCGAAGTGGGCGTGAAGCGGGAAGGAAGAGGTGCTCAACTGGTCCATATAGTTCGGAAATCGTCGGGTACACCATGGACGGGCGTTGGGTCATCCCTTAGAGAACGAACCACCTGATCCCCATACAGCCGATGGTTTAGGAAGAGAAAAGTTACGACCGTTTAACTTAATCTCCCTCAATGACTCGTGTTTCCTACCTAATAATTTGTTGCTTGTTTATACTTACTGTTAATCATTTGTTTGTTAGTTTAAGTCCTTCAGCATAGTAGAATGACGATTCGGGCTATAGGGCTATGGTCTAAGTGAACTATTCTGTCCAGATGTTTCGTCAGCTACTGCGGCTGACATCCTCAGTAGTAGTAGTGTCGCTGTCGAGTCTTCGAGATATAATCTACATTCACGTTGTCAACGCAGCACTACCACTGAGGATGTCAGCCGCAGTAGCTGACGAAACGTCTGGACAGAATAGTTCACTTAGACCACGGCCCTATAGCCCGAATCTTCATTCTACTATGGATTCCGGTCGTGAAAGCCTTTGTTCTTTCAGCATAAATTGATCTCACGATGATTGTGTTGAATATGTAATATAAAAGGGGAAACAGGTGTTTTAATGGCAAACCTTTCATAGTAAACCTCTCACCATTGTAATACATTATCGTACAAAACATATGCTTTAAATTACTTAAAAAGTTAATGTACCAGACGGAGTGGTAGATCGCATCATTTGATGTTTAAATATAGAAAGGAGGGTCTTTAGACATCCTCATATCAAAGGCGATTCCGACGGACATTCTGTTCCGAATATTGTTACGCCAACTAAGGAGAATATTGAGGATTACGTAAAAAGCATGTGCGTTTTAAAAAAATAGCTTTGCATGTTACTTATAATTACTCACATACCTCGCTCTTTCCATTTCCTGGCAGGAGTGTGGTGTCGTTAAACTGAAGGACAACATGATATGGAAACTGACTGATTTGCGTGTCCTTTGTAAAACGTATTTCTGTAATAATAAGAATTACTTGTTAGTGGAATCATTAATATTTTCACATTTTAGGACGCTTAATTATTTACGTAAAAGGCTCCCCTTTGCGTTACGTACAGTATACAGAGGACCGTTTATAACAGCAAATATCTTTTAACAAACGACATAAGAAAATGGAGACGTTGAACTGTTGAATAAACTTGACCACTTTCTAATAGACAAAACTAATGAATTATTCATCGTCAAACTACCTAGTCCTTTTTGGTAAAAAGGATTCATCATGATCATCTTAAGGTCGTCAGTTCTAAACTCAGTTGAACACGGACCTCCACTCTTTCTTATTTTAAACTAATCTTCGCATTTCCTTAAAACTAGAACATCCCACATCCTTAGCTATTTGCGAACAGTAATCTTATCTAATAGACGAGATAGGTTGGTAGGACACCTTCTCAGACATGAAGATCTAGTCAGACACATATTAGAGGCAGAAACAGGAGTTAGAAGGGGTAGAGGTAGACCTAGATGCAAATAGTTAAGGATGTGGGTTGTTCTAGTTTTAGAGAAATGCGAAGTTTAGCTCAGGATAGGAAAGAGTGGAGGTACGTGTCCAACCAATCTTAAGACTGACGGCCTTATGATAAAGATGATGAATTTAATCTAGGTCTACCTCTAATCTCTCACTAGACCTTCATGCCTGAGAAGGTGTCCTACAAACCTATCTCCCCTATTCCTAATTAACTGCCACAGAGTCTTCTATTCTCCTATTCTTTCTAATATGTCTTCATTTCTAACCTTCTATGGCCACGGAATCCTTATCATTCGTCTGTAATCACATTTCGAACACTTTTAACCTTTTCTCTTCCGCCGTTAACCGTTCGCGAGCATAGAAGTTTTTATTGAAGGCGATTCAACCCTGTGGTATCGTCCGTTTTATATCCCTACTCCTCCTTCCGTCCTCACTTATCTGACATCCTAGATACCTATAATCGGTCACTTCTTTTAATTTTCGTCTTCTGTCTTTATATTCGCTCTTTCCCTACTTTTTCTTCCCTTGCATACCAGTATTTTAGTTTTACTTTTATTTATTTTCATACAGTACTGTTTTGCCAATACCGCTTCTATTTTATTTAAAGGTATCTAACTAACTCCTTGCTAGATGCTATTATTGCTATAACATCTGCAAATCTAAGCATACTAATCTTTTACCCCTCTTTATCTATCCCTACAGTTGTAGCCCCAGCTTTATAACTGCCTGTTGCTCTTTATACAAACTAAGTAGCACTCTTCTATCTTTGTACCTTATCCCTACATTTTTAAGTATATTCAACTTCTTGTCCCATTTAATATTTTACAAAGGCCTTTTCTAAATCTACAAGTCCTATGTACCCACTCTTTCCTTTTCCTATCTATCGTTCTCTTTATTGTTGCCCGTAAGACTAAAATGGCCCCCCACGTTCCTCTATTTCTTCTAAACCCAAATTGATCTTCCCCTAATAGTTCTTCCGCCCTTTTTTCCATTCTCGTCTGTACAATTCTAGTTAAGATTTTTTACATATGGGAAGTTAAACTAACTGTTCTAAATGCCTCGCAGTTATTCGCGCCTCTCTACTAAGGTATGGTTACTACCACGTTCCGTTTATGACATTCCCCGAGGTAGTTCCACCCGGACATCCAAATGTGGAACTAGTTTACGTCAGGACTGCTTTACCCCAGAGGACGCCATCATTTAATTTCTGTAGTTGTACCTTTTACTCGGGATCATAATGTGGATTGCACGGTAAATAAAAAAACTCCAAATATTACTTGACTTTGCATACCTTCTAATAATGGTGTTTGAATTTCATTTGTTTTGATATATTACAGTTTTTTGACAGTCAAATACTCGTTATTCGGTGCTAACCAGTACAAATCCGAAATCGCAATCTTCATGTGACAGTTTCAAAGAATACTGACTAACAACTATTATACTGAAACCGTGTGTATGGAACGCTGTTTTGTTATTTAATCGTATATCTAATATATATTCTATCTGAAAACTTAGTGATCGCAAAAATAAAGAAATGAAATATCATGGTATCATAAGAAATAAAATTTTTTTTGCTGAAGAAACGACTGTAAATGTAATAGGAATAGTAACTGTAAATCCTTCAATTTTCTATCGTCCGATTGAAGCCAATTCTGGAATTTCAAGACGTCGAGCTTTGGGTATTTTCATCATTAAAGACAGTACAACTATAGGGATAGATATGCAGGGGCAGAAGATTAGTATGCTTAGATTTACAGATGATACAGCAGTATTAGCATCTAACAAGGAGGACCTAGAGATAGCTTTAAATAAAATGGAAGCGGTACTGACAGGTCAGTACTGTATGAAATAAATAAAAGTAAAACTAAAATACTGGTATTCAAGGAAAGAAAAAGTAGGAAAAGAGCAAATATAAAGATAGGAGACGAAAAATTAGAAGAAGTGGCTGATTTTAGATATCTAGGAAGTCAGATAAGTCAGAACGGAAGGAGTAGTAGGGATATAAAGCAGAGGATAACACAGGGTCGTGTCGCCTTTAATAAAAAGAAGTCACTTCTGTGCTCGCGAACGGTTAAATCAGAAATTCGAAAACGGTTGTTAAAGGTGTATGTTTGGAGCATGGCGTTGTACGGGTTCGAAACATGGACAGTGGGCGCGGCGGTAAAGAAAAAGTTAGAAGCCTTCGAAATGTGGTGTTATAGGCGAATGATGAGGATACCGTGGATTGAGAAGGTTAAAAATGAAGAGGTATTAAAAAAAAAAATAGGAGAACAGAGGACTTTATGGAAGTCAGTAAGAAATAGGCGAGATAGGTTGGTAGGACACCTTCTCAGGCATGAAGGTCTAGTCAGAAACATATTAGAGGCAGAAACAGGAGTTAGGAGGGGTAGAGNTAAATTAGAAATTCGAAAAAGGTTGTTAAAGGTGTATGTTTGGAGCATGGCGTTGTACGGGTGCGAAACATGGACAGTGGGCGCGGCGGTAAAGAAAAAGTTAGAAGCCTTCGAAATGTGGTGTTATAGGCGAATGATGAGGATACCGTGGATTGAGAAGGTTAAAAATGAAGAGGTATTAAAAAAAAAAATAGGAGAACAGAGGACTTTATGGAAGTCAGTAAGAAATAGGCGAGATAGGTTGGTAGGACACCTTCTCAGGCATGAAGGTCTAGTCAGAAACATATTGAAGGCAGAAACAGGAGTTAGGAGGGGTAGAGGTAGGCCTAGGTTAGATTACTGTTCACAAATAGTTAAGGATGTGGGTTGTTCTAGTTTTAGGAAAATGCGAATTTTAGCTCAGGATAGAAAAGAGTGGAGGTACGTGTTCAACCAGTCTTAGGACTGACGACCCCATGATGATGATGATAATACAATAAGTAGGAAACATTCTCTGCAACAAACCAATCTTCAACGACGATTGCAGTTTTGCTTGTGGTATCGTTAAAAAGTTTAAGTTTAAGATCCTTCTTCTCTAGTAATATTATTTGGAAAAATGAAGCCCTTTTTAGAAGTGCCGGTAATTACAGCAGACACTACGAGCACTACTGGCGCGATAGCAACCCTCATCCTACTGTAAACGTTATAAGTCAAGGACAGTTTAGTTGCAGCGTTGGATGTGTTTTAGCAGGTAATCATGTTTAACTTCACCTATATTAAGAACAATTTAGTCGTCAACAGTACTAACATCTTAGACTAGTATATCGTTGAAGAGTTTAAGAAAAATTTACCATTTCGGAATTTTAGAAACAACTGGATAGGAAGTAATGGACCAGCGAGGTGGCGTCCGCAATCCTCTATGTTACCTCCACGGGATTTCTTCTTGTGGGGCTCATTAAGAATAAATTATATAAAAAAATACAATAACAATTTCAATGAACCAAAAATACAAATTCAGTTTTAAAAATTCGTTTTCATACGGCTGTACAAAGTATCATAACGAAATCTAATTTATACATTGAGGATAACTTTGATCAGTTTGAATATTTACTTCAATTGACATTATATTAATTATTACTACTAGTTGCATGATTGCTTAGATTTTAAAATATTTTAGCAAAAATTGAAACGTTGAAATTCGCCCACCCTGAACATACATTCAATTCTAAATTTAAGTAAAATTATTTAATTTAATGGACCCTCTCCTCGTATTTGTCCATCTCTCCCAGCTTTACTCTATTTGAGAACAGAATTTTCATCGTAAGAAATGTATCTAATAAACAGCACATTCGTAGGTACGTACAAGGGTCAATTGAAAAGTCCCCGGCCTGACACATAGATGGCGGCACCAGAACTAAATACATATGATTTTCAGTTAGTCCTAACCTTCAAAAGACGCGTCTATAAATTTGACGGCTGTCGGACCATTAGTTTGTGAATTATAGCATTTTTAGTGAAGCAACTTTTGTTATTGTGAAAAAAATGGATAAAAAGGAATTTCGCGTGTTGATAAAATATTGCTTTTTGAAGGGAAAAAATACAGTTGAAGCAAAAACTTGGCTTGATAACGAATTTCCGGACACTGCCCCAGGAAAATCAACCATCAAGGATTGGTATGCTAAGTTTAGACGTGGTGAAATGAGCACCGAAGACGGTGAACGCAGTGGACGCCCAAAAGAGGCTGTTACGGACGAAAACATTAAAAAAATCCACAAAATGATTTTGAATGACCGTAAATTGAAATTGAATGAAATAGCAGACACTCTACAGATATCAACGGAACGTATACATCACATCATTCACGAATATTTGGGTATGAGAAAGCTCTGTGCAAAGTGGGTGCCGCGCGAGCTCACTTTTGACCAAAAACAACGACGAGTTGATGATTCAGAGCAGTGTTTGAAGATGATCACGCGTAATAAACCCGAGTTTTTGCGTCGATATGTGACAATGGATGAAACATGGCTCCATCATTTCACTCCGAAGTCCAATCGACAGTCATCGGAGTGGACTGCACACGATGAACCCGCTCCAAAGCGTGCAAAAACGCAACAGTCGGC